CTATCTATCTATCTATCTATCTATCTATCTATCTATCTATCTATCTATCTATCTATCTATCTATCTATCTATCTATCTATGCTATCTATCTATCTATCTATCTATCTAGCTATCTATCTATTTATCTATCTATCGATCTATCTATTTATCTATCTATCTATCTATCTAACAACTAATCTATCTATCTATCTATCTATCTATCTATCTATCTATCTATCTATCTATCTATCTATCACTCAATAAAACATTCATTTTATTGTTATACTTTCTATTTTCCCTTGAATGCTTATTATCCTTTTCTTTTTATTTGATATACAGTGAAGCAGTTTTATTTTTACATCAAGTTTTTGTTCAAGGTTTACGGAATAAAATGGAGAATTGGCCTACTTTACAATTAGGTAAGTATATACATGTATTGTTCTAGTATTATACAAACAATTTCATTATCATTTATCAGTAGTATATTTGTTACTGTTATATTATTTACAGAACTTTAATTTTTATCCAAAATTAAGTCATGATTATTGTCAAAAGGGGTTTGTGGAGGTTTTAGAAATCTCACAGATTGAACTTATGAGTCAAATGAAGCTAGACCACCATGGAAAACCTGGAAGCACTGGACGACCGTTTCGTCCCAGTATGGGACCCTTCAGCAGTGCACACCTACGACCACGCGCCACGCGGTATTCGAACCTAGGACCTACTGGCTTCGAGCGCGAGCGCTTAACCATTGGACCACTGAGCCGGCACCCCGCGTGGTGCGGGGTCGTGGATGCGCACTGCTGAGGAGTCCCATACTAGGACGAAAAGGCCGTCCAGTGCTTCCATGTTTTCTATGGTGGTCTAGCTTCAACTGACTCATGATTTCAATCCGTGAAATTTCATGATTATTGTCTTGACTTGTGAAACCGAAGTGATTGATTTATGGAAAGGGACAAAGCTGTTGAATGTAACAAATAATTAAATATCAGAAGGGGTTTCGTGGATATTATAGTAATTTCAGTAGTTGAGATCATGAGTCAATTGAAGCTAGATCATCATGGAAAAACCTGGAAGCACTGGATGGCACTGGATGGAGCACTAGTCCCCTCAAGATTACAGGTACACCTTGCTGACGAGTGCCAAGTAGCACGAAACCTGGGTCTAGGGTTTCCTGTTGACTATCTCCAACTACCATTTTCTTCCCTTTTCATACCACATTTTACATACTCACGACAGTAAATTTTTATTCTCAACATTGTTAACATGATCAAATGACCTGTTTAGTTCACACACTGTTAACAGGAGAACCATATATTTATTCGTATTTTGTAATTCGGATGTTCGATTACATTTCTGTGGAAAAGCTTGGATCGGATTTCTGAGCGAATCATTGAATTTACTTAAAGTTTAATGGTGTCGATTCTTTACAGACACAATTTCCTCCCTAAACTATTATTAGACAATTAACAAACTTCATGATACTCACTATAAGTAATCACGAATGAAGGAAGCATTTTAGTCAAGATAATTCACTTTTCATTAAAAAACTGTTGAGAAAGTTCCAAAATAGTCTTCATTAAAGTATCGAGAGGCCCAGAAACGCCAGAAGACGTTCTATCCAATCACCTTTGTACAGAATATTCGCAATAGCATCTAGAAAACACAAAATCGCGTGGCACTGTTTGATTGAATTTTTACCTATACTACTACTATATTTAGTATTACTTTAGCAGCCCAATGTCATGTGTAACTCTCTAAATAGCCTCGTATTTCAGCAAATAAACTAACGTTAGAGTTAGGCATTTTATTCAAACTTCGCGCTTTCTCTCAAGTATTTCAGTTGATGTATGAATGTAGTTCGGATTGTCGGGATAGGCTAGAAAGACAGTTTAAGGTTATTAGTAACAAGATTTATCAGCAAGTAACAACAAATCCTTATATGCAATCATTCTTTTATATATTACCACCATTGAATTAACTACTTCTATGAATCTAGTGTTCATCTTGCTGTGCTAATGCGGTATGGGAAACTGGACCGATGCATATGTGTGCCTGGTCCTACATTGTAGCTGACTAACCGAATATTTACAGTTTAAACATTTTAATTTATCTGTTGATCGGACATTTGAAATGATATATAACTTGATAAGTTTTGATCACTTGTGAACCAGTGACTGGTTCATAAATACGTCTTCGTCTAACAGTATTTATCTTATTGTTACATTGAGCCATCTCAGTCTTGTTCAACTGAACAAGTAGAACTTCACTTCATTTACTTATATTATCCCTTGTTGAGAAGCATAGGCTGCCAACGAGGATTCTCCAATTTACTCTGTCTGGGACTCTACATTTCAATTGTTCTCAAGTACTGTTACTTCTTTTGATATCTACCTCTAATTCACAGAGCATTATGTCCTTACTTCTGCCTCTTTTCTTTTCACTCTGAATATTTCCAAATTAGGACTTAGTTTGTAATGAAGTTTGATGATTTCTGTAGTATCTGTTCTATCCACCTCCTAATTTCCTCCGTAGCTGAAATTTGTTTTGTTCTCTATCACAGTAGGCTATTATAATTGATGTCTAGTCAATAGTTATGGAGTATACCTCCACGAGGAGATACACAATTCCTAAAAGAATATTACTTTTCAACGACAAAGTCCAAACTCACTAACTTGTGATGTACTGTTAATTACTTACTTACGCCGGTCACTCCTAATGGAGCATAGGCCACCGACCAGCATTCTCCGACCCACTCTGTCCTGAGCCTTCTTTTCTAATTCCATCCAATTCTTGTTCATTTTTCTCATGTCTATCTCCATTTCCCGGCGTAATGTGTTCTTTGGTCATCCTTTTCCCCTTTGGCCTTGAGGATTCCATGTGAGGGCTTGCCTTGTGATGCAGTTGGGTGCTTTCCTCAATGTGTGTCCTATCCACTTCCAGCACTTCTTCCTGGTTTCTTCCTCCTCTGGGATCTGGTTTGTTCTTTCACATAGTTGGTTGCTGCTAATAGTTTCCGGCCAACGGATTCGAAGTGTTTTGCGTAGACAACTGTTAATAAACACCTGTATCTTCTGGATGATGTCTTTCGTAGTTCTCCAGGTTTCCGTCCCATACAGTAGAACTGTCTTGACATTTGTATTATATACTGTTAATGGTAAACTTTAATAAAATCCAATTTTGTCCGGTTTTTTTTTTCAATGTTTTTCATTTAAATAATAAAGGTGATCTATTCGATTTATTATTACCAATGTTGGGAATCTATCAAGAATATGTACGTAATCATCATTATTCATTACAAGTATTAGCAGAATATAAACAACGTCCAGAATTTACACATATGCTTAAACGTCTTGAAGAGAAACCATTATGTGAAGGTAGATCAATTGAATCGTTTTTAACTTATCCAATGCATCAAGTAAGTTAAATTAGTATCATTGATTTTTTCTTTCTTCTTCTGATAGTTTATAAATGATCACTATTGTTCAATGTTTACTTTAAGGATAGGATACTATGGTTTTTGTATCAAATTCAAATAGTGTACATTAGAAACGTTTTTCTGTATACTACTCAAAATATTTTAAGTGATAATGTACAATGAGTTGTGTTTTGTTTTTCTCAGCAATAAAGTAAATTTGATAAATTCTAGGTGTTAAGTTACTATCGACGAATCTAGGTGGATATTAGTTTGTGATGAGTCTGTCGAAGTTGGATTAGTTCCTCATCTATTGTGTCAGTGGAACAGATTCGCTTGATCCCAACCAACGACTGCCTCGACGTGTGGTGTTCAGTAGTATAGGAGTAGGTTGGAAGAAAGCTAGGGGAGGCCAGACCAAAACATGGCACAAGTCCATGAAGTCACTGACAAGTGGACTGAGTCATGTTGGTAGGTGTAGACTACCTGGTTGGGGACCGCGAGATGATAGCAACCGATTGTTAGAGACCCTGAATGACATGGCTCAGAATCGTTTGGAATGGCGCAGGTGCATCCACTCTTTGTCTTCTCCCAAATTCTAATCTCCTGATTCCTCCTTGTCTCTTTTTTTGCTTTTTCACTGTATAATACTCCTTAAATAACATCTCCAAACCCTAATGTTTCCGATTACTGCTTATACTCTTACTACCTCTACCACTACGGGATTTGAATCAACAACTGCATCTCTGTGCTAATGTGGTATGGCAACTCGAACTGATGTACGTACATACGAAGTTCTACGGTGTTACTGACTGACTGACTGATCCTAGAGGATAAAGAGTGAATTAAGTTCCTCTTTCTACTCAATGGGACCGAACTATAGAAATTAGTGTACTGTTAAACATATGTAATGTTAAACATATCAAGTGTTCAATTTTTATCTCTGTTAGTTGTATATAGTAAGTAAATCGACATTATCCCTAAATCTTGACCCTAAAACAACCTTCAATCTGATACCATTACGTTTTATAAATGAACTAATCAGATAGTTTCCTCCTGGATGTTTCAGATTAAAGTCATTCGTCCATATAGATATACAGCAGTTTCAAATTATAGATGATGTTAGTTGTTGATAAAAACCTTAATCGTAAGTCTCCATTCGTAACCTGAAATACCTAATCCTAACAAGGAACAGTGTAAGAAATCTTAAACATCTGCATGAATCATTTTAAGGGTTCGAGAATATAAACAAACTTGTTCTATGGAGACGAGTTTGCTTTCATTGTTTCTCGGGTTTATGGTCAGAGTTATTTGTAGAAAAAAATTGACAAACTGTTCATTTCCTTTTCCATAAACGATCTATTTACACAAACTATTTTCTGATTTTAATAGCTAAGATCATGAGTCAAGTGAAGTTAGACCACCATGGAAAACCTGGAAGCACTGGATGGCCGTTTCGTCCTATTGTGGGACTCCTAAGCAGTGCTCACCGATGACCCCGCTTCACGAGATTCGAACCCAGGGCCTATCAGTTTTGCGAGCGAGAACGCATAACCTATAGACCACTGAGCCCGTATCCAATGGCGTTAATGTCTAACTTCAACTAATCCACGAAATTGAACGAAACTAGGCCGTCTAACATCGATCGATTTTCGATCTCAATTAATATTGTTTTCTTTTCGGTTTATTGAAAATGAAAAATTTTTTTAGTGTTTCCCTGAATAAGAGGTAACCGTATGAAGTGAAAATTCTAGAATAAATAACGATTTTAACTCGTGAATTATTCATTATCGATATGACAACACTGATGGTTCATCCACAACCTCATCTCCATAGCATTTCGATGAATTTATTGACACAGATGTTATCAGAGATGGTAGATTTTCTATAAAACAATTCATGACTACGAGAATGAGTCAAAAAGTAACTTGTCATACAAATAAACTCGCATCCAGATTAATATAGTTTTCTAGAATAGTAAGATCGGAAAACTGATTCTAAGCCTTGAAAATTCAGAGAAATACCTAGAATTATTGAACCTTAACAAGTTCCATTACTTCTGTTATGAAATACTTTTGAATTAAAGAAGCTTTCTATTTATTAATTGAATTATGACTTCAAAATCAAGTGATCATTTTCAGAGTTGATCAAGCTTATCATCAAACTATTTGTTTATCATATGTTTTACCTGTAACGTAGATTAACTTGTCGGGATTTTATATGCTATTCATAAACTCACCTATTATTCAATACATAGTGAATGCCAATAGTTAAGATTATGAGTCGATTGAAGTTAGACTACTATGGAAAACCTGGAATGGTAGATGTGTCGCTCAATTTCGTCGATTAGTTGAAGTTAGACAATAACACCATTGGATACCGGCCGGTCTAGTGGTCTAGTGGTTAAGCGCTCGCGCGCCAGACTGATAGGTCGTGGATTTGAATCTCAAGAGGCAGGATCGTCGATGCGAACTGCTGAGGAGTCCCACAATAGGATGAAGCAGCCATCCAGTACTCCCAGGTTTTCCATTGCGGTTCAGCTTCAATTGACCCATGATTTCAACTATTGAAATTACTATACTATCCACAAAACCCCTTTTGATCTAGTGAATGATTTGAAATAAATTTAGTTTGATGATCTCAAAATCAAATATGCTTGTTATTACTTAGATATTACCTTGAGTTTAGATAAGATACTATGATTTCCGTTATTATGACTTACTACTGAATGACTTATTTATGTTACAGTAAATTTTCTAAACATAAATTTGATTATTTTGTTGATTATTTCATAGATTCCACGTTACATAATCACTTTGCATGAATTACTTGCTCATACACCATATGATCATGTTGATAGGAAGAAATTAGAGTTTGCTACATCGAAATTGGAGCAAATATCTCATGTAAGTGATAGTAGTAATATTATTAGTAATATATATTAAACATAACTACATATATTTTGTTTTGTTATCATTATCAGATTGAGTTTGTCTTACAGTAGTCTATGTCAGTTAACAATAATGATAATAAGTGTTGCAGCGTTCGGTATCCGATTTTGACTGTGAAACTTAATCGCTCAATGCATAAGCTCCACCGGCTACCAGAGTGAAAAGATAAAATGAGAAAGAACTTTACTGAAATGTAAGCCATCAGTAGTCTGTCTCATTCTTTAGAAATAAAAACGTTTTCTTGCCCAATCAATATGCGCTTATTATCTAACCTTTTTCTGATTACCTTAAAGTATCATTTTTCCTCCCTGACAACAGACTTGGCTACTTGTAATCTAGCTGAAGGTGTTAGGGACGAGGTAAACCACCACCACCAATAATAATAATAATAATAATAATAATAATAATCTATTCTGAAAATAATTATGGGATACACACTAAGCATGATCAGGTTGGAACGAAATGTAACGCAACATTTATAGGAAAAGACAGGAGTTATAAATACTTTTAATGAAATCATTTCACTAGAATTTCAATGGTATTAAGCAATGTTTGATTATAGGCGACAGCATTTTGGATTACATCATTAGTAATAACATATACACTGTGATAGTTGTCGGTTTTGTAAGCATATAATTTTCTTTAAGAATTAGTGTATAAAGAATATGAGTTCACAATGAACGTTTTGGAATGATCAATGTTCCATAGGATGAAGCAGTTAGCAGTCAGTATATTTTTTGTACAAAAACTAAGTTAATTCTAAGCAAAGATGGATAGATCCTGGGTTCAAATCTCGCGAGGCGGGATCATCAGTACGAACTGCTGAGGAGTCCCATAATAGGACGAAACGACGGTTCAGTACTTCCAGGTTTTCCTTGGTGGTCTAACTTCAATTGACTCATGATTTCAACTATTGAAAAAAGATGGATAGTTACTAGCAGTGGAATCTAGGACGCACTTTTCATCCTATTTCGGAGGTCCATTCTGGGATTCGAACCCAGTACCGTTCACTTAACATGCCATTGCGTTATCCACTTAGTTACTAAGTCCTGATAGCCATCCGCTTGTTAATTGTTTTATCATGATTTAAAACTTATCAACCATACCTACTCTGGTTTTTTATGTCACACACTAAGTAAAATATGTTTGAACCAAAGAGTTTAGGGAGATTAATTAATTTTATAGTATATATCACGAACTGATCCTAATTAGACAACTGTTGAGAACCAGAAAGTCCTAAACAGACATTTCATCCCAGTATGGGACTCCTAAGCAGTGAGTAAACACAACCCCACAAAGGGACAAACCCAAGAACACAGTTCACACAACGAGTATTTAACCTTCAGACCATGAGCTTGACATTCAGTGTATCAGTGCTTATTGATTTTCCCGAGTTCATGTTACAAATTACTTTATTGGTAACTTTGGTAAAAAAAATTTTTATTTATCTTATGAATCGATAGCATTCAGAGAATATCTAAATAACCGAAACTGAATGACTGAAGTTATCAGTTAACGTTTCAGTGTTCATTATATGTGTTATATCCAGGACATTTGATCACTTTCCCATTCATTTATTAAGTGAGTGCTCAATACTAAAGTAGTATGTTCATTAAAGATGTCATTTAAAAACAACTAGAAATATACGGAACTATCTACTCTGTACACCTACTTCAGTGTAGCGTAGTCCCAAAATGTTAGATGAAAAGCACAAGCAAACTCAAATGAAAATTACGCTCTAATATGCAATACTCATTCAGTAAATGAGCGAGAAAATGGAAGAAAGTGTCGATTGGATACAATACATAAGGTATCAAAGACGTTGACAATAACTTCAGACAGTTAGATAAAACTGTCTTGTATTTGTTGTCTGGATCTAATTAACACTACATACTCAATATTAGATACGAAATTGAACTCTACAATTTAAAGATTCTAAGTACTCATGATACAGATACTCGAAATGAAACAATCTCCACAACATCTTATAGCATTATTATTATGGCCGCCGTTTATCAACATCTTTTTCATTGATTAATGATCGATAAATTCCAACTGAATAAAATTCATTAACTCTTTGTTGAACGATACAATTACTTTCCAAATTTTACAGTAAAACCTTGGATCATGAGATGAAGGAAATATTAATTCTAAATTTTTATGAAATTCAACTAATCGATTAAATTAACTTGGTGTTATTTCACTTGTATCTTCCCATCGTTATTTAGGACTGCAATTGATCAGTCTCATATTGGCATATGTGCGTTGAGTGCGGATTGCCTCAATATAGCCTTAGGTCACAATCTGTTTAGGCAAAGATGGATAGTGACTAGCAGTAGAATCCAGGACGCACATTTTCTCCTATTTGGGACTGATCAATTGGATGTACCTACATCTCAGAGTTGATGTTCACATCGGGACTCGAACCCAGTACCGTTCATTTCGAACGCCATCGCGTCATCCACTTAACTACTGAGTCCTGATAGCCATATACTTGTGCAATGGGCCGAAGTTTTTTAAACCCACTTGGTGTTGTTTTACTTATATCTTCCCATTGTTAGTTAGGACCGCAATTGATCAGTCTCATGTTGGCATATGTGCATCCTGTGAGGGTTGACTCGATATAGCTTTAAGTCACAACCAATTAAATGTGTTGCCTTTTCAAAAAAACAGTTTTATTATTTAAAAAGCCTGTAATAGTATTTTCCTAGTTTGTATCACGAATTGATCTTAGGTAGATAACTATGGAAAGCCAGAAAACACTGAACACCTATTCCGTTCTAATATAGCACTCTGAAGTAATATAACCCTATTACTACAATAAGGGTTGGACCCAAAATCAATCAGAACACTCTGTTAAGTATCCAGTGAACTTCACTAAGAGAAATCAGCCAGTAACTTAAATTATCTTTAAACTTGAATCACTCACCGAAATCAATTAACTAAAATCAATTTAAAAATAGGTTTATCCTTTAAGGACGAATATCAGCTGTTTTACAATATGGCTGTACAAATCAAATTTGGAATTTTTCGGCATACTAATGATCGTCAAATATGTGCTAAATTTGAACTCAGAATTATCATGACTATATACCTTTTTCTTTCGATCTTCATATTCTTACAACTTGGTTAAGCTCAGAATATTTCGAGAAATCATTCTTGAAACAATTGACTAATAGCTAGTACTGGGTTATTACTCATTAAAGTTGGTTCTGAGAAAAAAAAAGCTAATCATCAATTGTCACCAATATCGATGAGACTATAATTTATGGACAGCCTTTGAACGATGTTAGAGTGTCTACTTAATGACTAGGACCAAATGAGGGTTATAAACCAGTATGAGGATTAGATTTATCGTTTTCATCACTAACTGACATCAGCTATTGTTAAGGAGATCCAGAAAACTCCTCGAAAAGACAAAGCTAAGAAAGGCTCTGAAAACACTGAAAAGCATCTTATTTAATCAGCGCTCACTAGAATTTTTGCCAGAAACATCTAGAAGTTGGGAAGTCACGTTTCCAGTTTCTGATTAGATGATTAATACACAGCTAGTATATTTAGTCGCATTCTAGAATTTACGGGAAAAATCAAGAACATCAAAAATACTATAAAAAAACCCTATATTTTCTGTACATAAATAAACCTTTGGAGTAAAAGTGTTTTTTACGTGCTTTGCGCCTTTTCTCTCGTGTTCAAGTTGCTGTGTAAATCTAGCCTAGGGGGTAATAGAAGAGCTAAGGAACCGAATATAGAGTTCAATTAGCAAGACTTATCAGATATAATACCAATACTTTATTTAACCAAATGGATGAGTGAATTTCACGCCGAAATCCGAGATCTCTTATTTTATACCTAATTGGTTCATCCATAAATTATAATCTTTCCTCAACATCAGCTGGATGAGTGTAAAAATAAGTTCTTCACTTAACGAATTACTCAACTGTTTTTTTTTCGTGTGTTTGGTGTACTCTTCCTCTCATCAACCAAATTTTAATTTTGTAGCTTGACATAATCTAATTTCATAGTTATTGTGAGTTCCATTCACTGGAATCTGGAGAATCTAGCTTGTCTGCCAATCTATACTCTGGATACTTTAATATAAATTGGTATGGTCATCCAACCAATATGTTTTGTTGTTGTTGTTGTTGGTCAATACTTAATATACAACGTTTCACACTAAACCTTAAAAATAAAAAAACCCAACATTTAAGCATGTTTTTACCCATTATATATATATATATATTTTTAGAAATGATTACATAATTTTTTGATTGAGACCATGAACCGATTGATGTTAGGCCACTAATGAAAACCTGGAAGCACTGGACGGTCGTTTCGTTCTATTGTGGGTCTCCTCAGCAGTGCGCATCCATCCACTTGTGGGATTCCAACCCAGGGTCTTCAGTCTCGCGCGCGAACGCTTAACCTACCGGACCACTGAGCCTGCATCCAATGGTGTCAATGTCTAACCTCAACCAATCCACGAAATTACGCGACCATCTTCCATTGTACTGAGGTAGACACCTGTTTCTACCCGACACGGATTGGCTCCACAATAGGACGAAACGACCGTCCAGTGCTTCCAGGTTTTCATTAGTGGTCTAACATCAATCGGTTCATGATCTCAATCAAAAACTTTACAATCTCCGCAACCCCTAAACTGATGATTACGCAATTCTTCAAATTGCATGGTAATTTTAAACTGGAAAAACGAAAATGAAATCTTTATTAATGAGGTAATGGAATAGCAATGGTATTTTTGTTTTCGTTCTTTCTTATACAATGAATACGTACATGATTATATAGTTCAATATGTAGCCCACAATTCTTTTGAAGTGATCAATAAATTAAAATGATTGATCCATTCACTTTGAATATCAATCAATAAGGGAAAAGTAATATTATTCAGTATTTGTTAACTTTTAGAATATAGACTGTTTGTATGTTTGTCTATATGTCTACCTATCTATCCATTGATTGATTGATTGATCGATCAATCGATCGATTGATCAATTTTGAGTTTGTATTGTCATATTATATAATATATAAACAATAAGAGTGATGTCATATTGTATGGAATAAACAGACATATATTTATATATATACAATGACTTACTTAATTGTTCATATTGGTAATCGATAAAATCAAGGGTTCGTCTTTTTTAATATTTTCTTGTTCTCATAGCTTGTATAGATAATAATGAATAAATAAACGTTTATTTAATATACCTTTGTGGGCCAGGGTAATTTTGCATTGGTTCTCAGGAGAATCAGACACCATCCGGACTTTCACGTGACAACCAAACAGTACGGCCCAACCCTGTTTAACAAGAGAACCAGACATCGTATAGGCTTTAACGCTACAATCTGAATAGTACAGCTCAATCCTGTGGCGCAACCACACAGGTACCAAGCACCCTGGTGGATTAGTTGAAGTTAGACATTAATACCATTGGATGCCGGCTCAGTGGTCTAGTTGGTTAAGCACCTGGCGCGGGACTGATAGGTCCTGGGTTTGAATCTAGTGGGGGGGGGGTCATGGATGCGCCCTGCTGAGGAGTCCCGCAATAGGACGAAACGGCCGTCCAGTACTCCCAGGTTTTCCACGGAGGTCTAACTTCAATTGGCTCATGATCTCAAATGTTTAAAATTACTACAATCTCCACAAAACCCCTTCTGAAACTTTCATTTTCTATTTGGTTTATTAAAAATCATTAAGAAAACAGATAAAAAAGATTCATCATTTTTATGTGGAATAATTTTCTTTTAAGATTTTGAAATTATGGAGAAGATTTGTAGCTAAAGTGGATGATTTTGATGGAGGTTTGTTCTTTGGGTTGGATCGTTTAGTCATGGAGCATTCATCATTCTTTTGAACGATATCATCAGCACAAACTTCAGATAAACTTTTATCGATTGATGATGTCGTTCGAAAGAACGATGAAACTTCCACGACTACACTATCCTGCTCAGAGAATAAAACTCCATCAAAAATAATTTTGTTTTTATATGCGAAAAAAACTTGTCACAGTCATATTGTTTACATGAATTCGTTAAAGGCATTTCAAAATAAAGAAATAAACTACTGTGATCATTACAAAATGGAATAGTTTTGTTGCTATTCTGAAAATGTAACTAAAACAAGAGTCAGTCAGTCAGTCAGCTACAACGTAGGACCAGGCACATATATGCGTCGGTTCAAGTTGCCATACCTCATTAACACAACAAGGTGAAGACCGGACATTATGGGAATTTCTAATTACAATAGTATTTAGGAATAAATGTGTTATACTATGTTCAAGAATAATTACGAATCAAACGGATATGCGTGAATTCAGAGATACACTGATTTGAAGTCTAACACCAGTGATTCAGTTTTTCTTCATGAAACAGCTTAATTTTTAAAAAAAATCAGTAGGGAGGTTTTGTAGATATTATAGTCATTTCAATAGTTGACATCATGAGCAGTGCGTATCGACGATTCCGGTTCGTGAGATTCGAACCAAGGACCTATCGGTTTGAGGGGTCCCACAATAGGATGAAACGGCCATCCAGTGGTTCCAGGTTTTCCATGGTGATCTAGCTTCAATCGATTCATGATCTCAATTACTAAAATTAATTAAAAAATTAAAAGAAAAGGTTAGAAAATCATATTTTTCCCCTTGTTATGTTAAGCTCACATAACTTATTCTAGCTTCCGAACAGACCAATTTATTCATTCTTCTTGAGTTACATTTTAACCTTGCTAATTATTCATCTATCAACCCTGACTGTGTGTGTGCATTTCCTATCTTACTCATCACATACCTGTAATATATTTTTGTGACAATAAATATCGATTAACGCTTGATTAAATTTACTTCACATGCGTTCTCCAGTCCGTTTCACTTTCTTCGCTCCGTCTCTCTGATTGTCTGTTCCGATCAACGATTGTATGAAATATACGTATTCGAAAATGCATTCGTGTATTCAACTTATTTAATCCCGTTATTCACCAAGGCGATTTAAGTCGATGATTATATACGAGGATTTGCGACATGTATATTAAGATAACAACAACAAACGATCCAATGGGATTCAGATAGAGGGCCACAAAAAACTAAACTATTTGGAATCAGAATTAATGTAACTGATTTTGAGATGGTGGAGATTTGTAGCACTCCACTTCTATCTGAAGTTTGTGCTGATGATGTCGTTCAGAAGAACAATGAAAGCTGCACGATCAAACCACCCAGCTAAGAGAACAAAACTCCATCATAATGTAACTGATTATTCATCACCTAGACAAAGAATATATACATGCATTTTTACGACTGTAAAAATGAATACATAAGATTATCTTGGAGTCCGATTTAACAATTGAAAATTAAAACCATCGAGGATGATCAAGAATCAAAAAGCAGAGGCGTCTATAAGCTTCTAAGGTGTCATGGGATTCTAGAATCTTCTAGAAAGGACAATACTGTTGGTAATGGGCTTGACATATGATTATTTAGACTACAGAAGAAAATAACAAGATGGTCTCAATTGTCTTCTAGATATTTATCAGTATAGGGTTGTGGCAATTGTTAGGCTTTGACTGAGATCATAAATGGATCAATGTTAGACCACCACTGAAAACATGAAAGCACTGGACGGCCGTTTTATCATAGCATTGGGACTCCTCAGCAGTAAGCATCCACGGTCACAAACGCAGGATTCAAGCACAAGACCTCCAGCCTTGCACACGAACGCTTAACCTCCAGACCACCGGATCGGCATTCAACGACGTTAATGTCTAATTTAAACCAGTCCACAGCATTGAGCGACCGTACACCACCGTCATTAGTGAACAACTGTCTCACACCAGACATGAACAAAACGGCCGTCCGGTGCTTCTAGGTTTTCAATGGTGGTCTAACATTCATCCATGCATGATCTTAGTTTTCATCTGCCGCTAGAGTAAAATCAGTCTGCGATACAAACTATCGAAATTCAGCAATCTCTGTAAACCCCTCTGGCAATAATTATAGACCGATAACTAAAATGTAGATTAGAAAAATTATATGTACCGCTAAGTAAAACAATTCATTGGGTATGATGTAAATAGTTTGGTTATTCTATTTTTTTATCTTGAATAGTTTAAGTTAATAATCCGGAATACAACAACCCTAGAGTTGAAAATGTTTCTTTCTTCATTCATTTTCGCAAGATAAAAAAGTAAAAAGAACGCAAATCAGCTTTAACTGTCCTTAAAAATCATAAGGTCTCGAAATAATTAAAGGAACCTTATAGCCGATTTTTCTTCTAGCCAATTATGATAGTAGATAGTAGTGAAACACAGAACGTGCGTTTCTTCCATTTTGGGACTAATCAGTGCTCGGAATACATGCATACTTTCAAGAGATTGGTCAATTCTAGACCTTAGCATCAATAACAGGAAGATCCAAACCTTTACAATTGAAATAAAACTACGTAGTTGCTTTCATCAAAAATAGTCGAAATAATCAAATGATCAAACGAGACCGATAGGTCCTGGGTTCGAATCCCGCGGGGCGGGGTCACGGATGCGCACTGCTGAGGAGTCCCATAATAGGACGAAACGGCCGTCCAGTGCTTCCAGGTTTTCCATGGTGGTCTAGCTTCAACTGACTCATGATCTCAAGTGTTGAAATAAAAACACATTTATTTTCAAGTGTTGTCTTAGAATTAATGAATAAGTCTATTGGAAGATTATTATGAACTAGAGAGTTCCTTAACAGTAAACATCCGTAATCTCATATGAAAAGTTGAAACTAGGACACGATGACATTAGATCATTGAGTCAGAATTTAACGGGTTTTTGTAATACAAATTCAATCAATTTCCAATATTACTTATCGACGACTTTGTAGTGCGGCGTCGATTCGTGGTTGACTATGATCACCACTACAGGAAGACTGCGTGCCAGTTAACCGATAAGATCCCCCGTAAACCAAATATCAGAAGGCAGTTGATGGCTGTAGTCGAGATGTATTCGTTGGCGATCTCGTGGTGTCGAAAGAATACCGAGTTCGTTTCAGGTTAAAAGTGTGGTTACTGAGCGTCACCGAATTCGTGCAAGGTCACAATCAACGGAAGAATGTATGTACTTTGGTATAGTTAAACAAACAAGTACGGTAAAACAATCCCTGGTACAATTAGTTATAATAATAATTGTTTCCATTGCACCAATCGCGTTCTCTTGATAACAGTAGGTCAGTACAACTTAATACAAGAGGTGAATCATGTCCTCCATAACTGAATTTTATCACTCAAAACTTCTTAGTGAAATTTCCAGAACTCTTGTTGAAACTATTCATCAGTCAGAACGTCGTTATTATGAGTAAGAGGTTGAGTGAAAACTGACGAAAAGTTTGAAGGTCTAGTGTAAAATCCTGTGAAGTGTAGTTGGTATATCCTATCTGAGAGTTTGAATCTAAGACAACAATTGATAAACATATGTCTATTAGTGATGATAAATTAATTTGAGTTAGAAAATTCATTTCCTAATATATATATATATATATATATATATATATATATATATATATATATATATATATATATATATATATATATATATATATATATATATATATATATATATATACATAAATCTAGAAAGATTGTGCTACAATCATTCTATATAGGAAATGTATTATTGTTATAAATGACTGTGTTGAAATTGGATGATCCCAAGATCTGGTATATGTTGAATAGAACTGAATTTGAAATGTCATAAAGGTGATCGAATTCTGACAACACAAAAAAATTGGTAGATTAATTAAATCTATCAAATAGAAGTGTTGATATTTCCAGTAAACTTCTGCAAGGAAAATATTAGCTAGAGTTTCGATGCGCATCAGAACATTTTGTTATGTAACATCATATGAATTCTCATTGAATACAATTAAATTAGTTAATTATAAGATTGCTAGGGTTTAAGCTATCACGAGTTCACTTAATCTGCGAACAAGAAACAAAACTCGGTGACCAAAGACCAGTAGGCTAGCTATTAATACGTCCCAGCCCCGCTAACTAGAGGGAGAAGTCCAACCTTGGAATGGGGAAGTATTTTCTGCAATTAGCCAGAAGCGAGCGATAACACCAAACACAATTCAAAACGTATATATACAGTACAAAACCGTCCTTGGGGAGGGTTGCCAAATAGCAAAGTAAAAGACGCAAGGGACCAATAGCACTTAAGATATTTCCAAGTGGGAAATACGACATGAAAGTGACAAGAGCGCCTTTGGCGCGAAAACGAAGAAATTCAAATTTTCTAAATAAAATTACAAAAGTAGGTCCTTTCCCAAGTGAGTTCTGGGGATCTAACGTCCCTAACAAAGATATAGAGTTATGTTTAATAATGTAATTACAAATAACAGATGCCGTTGTACAAAATGGTCAGTAAAAGAATCATTTGATCTTAAACAATCATATCTATACAGATACTTTTCTTAAGCTTAACAACTAAATTTCTATAGTTGAAATTCTGAGTCAATTGAAGCTAGACCACCATAGAAAACCTGAAAGCACTAGATGGCCGTTTCATCCAATTGAAATTACCATAATATCCACAAAAACCTCTTCTGATATCAAATTAAATTTCTATTAGAGATTCATCAATAGACATTGCTCTATTGAGAAATCTCATTTAAAATTAGTTATACACAATTTACCTAAGATGTTATCGAAAGCAAATATGTGATCGTTTATATCAATACAATTGAATTGTTTATCAACAGACATCAAAACTGTCAATAACTAGACGTTGCTATGAAAGATAATGGTACTTAACTAATCAAAGAATTTTCATTATCAGGTTGTTAAGAGTGTCGAATTTCATTGAAATCACGAACCTGTTTAAGTTAGTCCATCATTAAAAACCTGATAGGACTGGATAGCTGTCTCATCCTACTATGGGACTCGACATCCACAAACAAGTAATAGGGGCTCGAACCCAGAACGTTAAGGTTTTTAGAATACAACTACTAAGTGATAAACATCACTCAAGAGAATTTGATATAAAGAGCGTTTAAAATCAAATCCGTTTTTTAACTACAATTGTAACTAACACGTTTATTGATTTCAAGAAAATTATGTCATCACCGCGTTCTTGAAACGTTTAGAAAAAAAAGAAACTCAAAATACATTTTTTAAAGGAATACTTAAAGCATAGAAACTAAATTTAAATCTATTCACAATAAATATCTCATTCCTAATACCATAATAATCTAGTATCTGGGATTTAAGTGTTATTTTTTTTTAAAAATTTTATTTGGGCATCATCAAAGTTTCCCAAATCTTGTAAGAATGTAGAAACAAACTAAGAAATTCTAGAAATACATTAAAAGTAAAACAAACAAAAAAACCAAAAGGGAGAATTCACAGAAGAATTTGAATAAGTCAATAAGTGAATGGGGTAAATGATTGTTTGAGTTAAGGCAGATAGAAATAATCACTGGTGCCTGTCTGTACAACCTCAATGAGGAATGAATGTATTTACATTTCTTCCTGTTGTGTGGATATACATATATATACATAGATGCACACGAATGTAACCAGGTCTTTTTTTACCTAGGCATACATTCCAACCGAAAGTACACATTTATTTTCATCTTCTCTCCTTAATAATAATTATGTGGCTCATTTTTATCATCCATACATCTCTGTCTTATTTTCTATCTCTCTATTTTGAAATTTGCCTACATAAATAGATAGACATAGTTGACGAATTGTCCATGATCATAAACACCGAGACACTGAGCTGATATACGATACACATACTACTACTACTACTACTACTAGTACCACATGTTTATATTCATGTGTATATGTATGTGTACATCAATACATAGGGTTAAATACAAAACACATATGTATCCATGACTCACAGACAGATTTTAGATG